ATAATATTGCTATGAACATGGAGTATAGAAATCTCTATGAGTTATTTCATTGCCTTAGGATGTATACCCAGAATTGGGATTGATTGCTGGAAGTTATGGTAATTATGCTTTTGAAAAAAAGGGTGCATCCCCAACAGTGTTCTGTGAGCCCCTCCCACCTCTACTTGATCAGTTGGGTTGGCTGTTGAATGCAAGGGAACGAGGAGATGGTACTGTGAGGGGTTCTCAGTGCTTGAGGTTCTTTAGGGCTACAGTTAGTGATGCTTAGGGAGTGTCATATAGTGCCAGGGATCACATCAGGCTGTGCCTCTAACTGTTATCTCCCAGTCCTGGTAGTTCTACTTCAAATTTTTTTTGGTTGGGAGGGGGATTAGGCCACCTTGGTGGTTCTCAGTGACTCTGTTCTTGGGGGTTGTTCTAAGCAGTTTGGCAGGACTGTACAGTGCTGGGGGTTGAACCGGGACCAACTGTGTACAAGACTAGCATTTTAATTCCTGTACTATCTCTCTGACCCTATGTTTAATTTCTTAAGAGTACTCTGCACTGTTTTGTTAGGATATTGTTGAGTACTGGTGTTTGGTGATTAAAGTGCTTTACTCTAATTCTTCTATGTAATCTTGCAGCGGAAACTGATACGCTCTTCAGATGTGGGACTAATATAGCTGTGTCCTATTGTGACCTATATGTATAAACCATGTCAGGGCACCTGTGGATAAAGCACACTGGAGACGTTAAAATATTATCTACACAAATAGAACCAGAACCCTTCCATTCCATCATGATACTAGTTTAATTTTTCTTTTTCATTCTTTTGGGTTTGAGGCATAACTGGCTGTACTCAGGGCTTACTCCTGGCTCTATACTCAGGCATCACTGTTTGGTGCTTGGGGGCCCTATGCGGTGCTGGTCATCAAATCCATGTCCACCTTGTGTAAGGCAAGTGCTTTACCCACTATGCCCATCTCTCTGGCTTTGCTCTTATATATCTTAAGTTTAGATTTCCTTTGTATGTCACTTAATTTTTATTTAATTTTATAAATTTATTTTTTTTTAAATTTGGAGGCCATGCCCACCGGTGCTCAGGAACTACTACTAGGGGTTCTTGGCGTGCAGATGATGAAATTTAGGATTTATGCATACAAAGCATACTCTCGAGCCCTATGCGCCAACTCCTCAACTCTCTTTACCTCTTACTACAAAAAATGTTTCCTCTCCTTCTCTTCCCTTTGTTTTTATTTTCATTACCTGCTGAGTGTCTTTTTGTTATAGTTACAAAGCTTTCATGTTTGAATTTCAGTCATACAGTGATCAAACACCCATCCTTTCACCAGTGCACATTTCCTGCCACCATAATCCCTAGTGTCTCCCCCATCCCAACCCTCCCCCTGCCTATGTGACAGACAATTTCCATAATACTCTCTACTTTGATTTCATTCAATATTTTGACACCAGTCCCACTATTATTATTTTGAGTTTTCCCGCCATCACTTAAACCTGCCGAAAAGGCAATGCTAGGAAATTTATTTTGTATTGATTGTTATGAATAGCATTTGGAATTCTAAAATTTTAGATAATTAGGACCTGGAGAGACCTCTGCAGCAAGCTGCTTGGTTCCAAGATTCTTTTGTGTGTCTCTGGATCACAGCCATTAAGGAACTTAAGTAGTAGCTGGAAGCAGTTCGTGGGTGTCATTTTAGGGTCTCATTGGGGCAGAGGGATGAGGGGGACCGGCTCCTCCCCTGTTCCGTGGTGTTTGCTGCTACTGCTCCTGCATACCTGGGCTTCTGATTGGGTTCTGTAAGAGGCGGCCACCGGGATTCCTAGGGGGCAGGCGAAGGGACAGCACCTGCTTCAGTCTGGAGTAGCCTGGTAAAATCGACCTAGTGCAAAGTCCGGAGGCATCTCTGCAGTGAGCTGCTCGGTTCTGAGATTCTTTTGTCTGTCTCTTTCCTTCCCTTTGTTGTCATTGCCATGCTTCGGGTGGCACACACTTGTTATATTCACACATTTGGTTGTGGTGAATAATATATATATATATATATATATATATATATATATATATATATAGCCAGAGCCAGAGACACGGTTCCCGGAATAAGGAGCTTGCCTTGAATGCGTCTCTGTCACTGTCACTGTCTTCCCGTTGTTCATCGATTTGCTTTAGCGGGCCCAGTAACGTCTCCATTGGATACTTTGTTGTTACTGTGTTTGGCATATCGAATACGTCACGGGGAGCTTGCCAGGCTCTGCCGTGCAGGCGAGATACTCTCGGTAGCTTGCCGGGCTCTCCGGGAGGGGCGGAGGAATCGAACTCGGGTCAGCCATGTTGGCTGCGTGCAAGGCAAACGCCCTGCCGCTGTGCTATCGCTCCAGCCCTATATATATATATATATAGTTGGGGAGCTTCCCAGGAGTGGTACATTTTATTTAGTTGCAGTGCTCACTTGGCTGAGAGTTGGAGACCGTATGCTCTGTTGTCTTGCTGGGGAATCCCCAAATCCCCAGCAGCAGAGTCACAGGGAGCATACTCAACACAGGTGTGTGGCACTAGGGATTGAATTTGTGGTTTCATACTTGCAAATAGGCACTTTTGCTGCCAAGTCATCTTTGGCTGACCTGTTACCCAGAACATTTGGTGACCTCCCAGGTGTTGCTTGGGTGCCTGGGAGCCACTCCTAGCTTTACTCGGCTTGGCTACTCTGATGGCCTGGTGCTCTGGCATGGTGGTGCTGGGGTGGGGTGGGGCCAGGGCCCACTAGGGCTAGGGCTTTATCCAGCAATCCAGCAGTGCCTGGCAGGACATGCAGTGCCATGGTGCAAAGTCAGGGCCTCATGCGGGCAAAGAATGCATTCAGACCTTCGAGTCAGCTCCTTTGTCTTCTACATTCCAGATTTTTTCAACTAATTTATTTAAAATTTATCTTTTTAAAAATTTTTTTAAAGGCAAGAGCTGTTTTTTATTTTATTTAATTTTATTTTTTTGCTTTTTGGGTCACACCTGGCGATGCACAGGGGTTACTCCTGGCTCTGCACTCAGGAGTTACTCCTGGCGGTACTCAAGGGACCATATGGGATGCTGGGAATCGAACCCGGGTTGGCCGCGTGCAGGGCAAACGCCCTACCTGCTGTGCTATCTCTCCAGCCCCATCTTTTTAAATTTTTTAACACTTAAAATGATGTTTTAAGAAAAAGTTTTTGGTTGGATTTCAGTTAAGATAGTCTTGGAATCATGAGTACATATTCAGCTTTAGTTAAGAAAGCATATTGAGCCATGACTCCAATTGAACTTGGATATATCAGAGTCATCCATTAGAAACGCACCATGTTCCAGGTAATGTTTGACTCACTGAGAATAACATCAAGGAAAATCCTAGCTCTCAAATAGGCAGCAAGATCAAATAGATGGTAGGTCAGTTGTGGTAAGTTCAGTGATGGAAAAGATGATAGGAGGAGACCAGGTAGGATGCTTGACTTACATGTGTGAGGCCCTGGGTTTGATCCCCAGCACCAGAAGAGGGTAGAATAGTCAGTCATGAGATCTAGTTTCAGGTTAAGTAGCTTGCGCATTAGTATTAGTTTCCTTGTGTCTGAGGGGAGGAGAGACTGCAGCAGGTAGAGAAAAGAGCCTTTGTAGATATGGACCTGAGTTTGAATTCCAGCACTGAAGGCTGACAATTCCCTTACAAGTTGAGTGTAAGGGTTCCTCATCCTCAACAGGGACACAGGCTAAGCCTATCGTTATATGGTTGTTAGGTGTATAGGCAGAACAAATGTAGGTAATGCATTTGGCATGGTCCATGACATTTAGAAATGGTTCAGGAATTGGTGTTTTAATAGATTATGGTCCAGATAACTCAGATGCTTGTAACCCTAGACTAAGGACCTACCAAGGGTCAGCAGGGTTTTTATTGTCTCTCCTACCTAGACTTATTCTTCAGTGCCCTGCTTACTGGATCTAGCATGTACTATGGATCAAGTACTATGCTTGCCCCAGCTATCCTAGAACTCACTATATCCCTTGGACAGTGTACCTGGTACAGATTGGGTACATGAGCACAGATGCTTTCTTTCCCCTTGATACCAGCTAGTAGCTCATATTCAGTAATTAGAAATTATCAGTAGGGCCAGAGAGAGTACAGGGATTAAAGAACTTGCCTTGCATGCAGCCAAACCTGGTTTTATCCAACCACCGCATCTGGTTGCCCAACAACCAGTACAAGTGACCCCTGAGCACAGAGTCAGGAGTAAGCTCTGAGTATCACCAGGTGCGCCCCACCCCTGCCGCACAAAATAAACTGACCTACTTGCAAATACCAGTTTTTGTTTTGTTTTGCTGGAGATTGAACCCAGGGCCTCACACATGCAGGGGCCTGCATTCCCAGCCCTACACCACATTATTTTTCATGGAATCAGTTTATTGACAACTGATACAATATTCTGTTGACAACATTTGTGTTGAGACTTTTTGGTTTGAGGGCTTTTTCAGTTTTTGTTTTGGGGGTCAAGCCTGATGGTGCTCAGGTTTTACTTCTGACTCAGTGCTTGGGGGTTTCTCCTGGTGGTGGTCAGGGGACTGTTTGGTGCCGTGGATTGAACCTGGGTGCCCTGTATGCAAAGCTTTGCTCTAATCCTTTGAGCCTTATCCCTTTCCCAAGCATTGGATTGTTTCTGATCTTTTGCTGTTACCCAAATGATCGAATAAATTACCTCATACAGTTGTGGCTTATATATACAGGGATGTATAGGGGTATATTTCTTGAAAGGGTGTTGTGAGTCAAAGATAAATACTTGTGTACTTTTATTCCTACAGGATAGCTCTGTTGAGCTCTGTCTTTAGCCGTGAATGCTGAGTGTGTGTAGTGATGGAGAATATTTTTCCTCAGAAATTGTCTCACTTAAGGGCTTCTGATCCATAATCCCTTTGTGAAATGTACCTATCTTTGACACAGGAATTTCTTTCCTGTGAGGTGACCATTTAACATTTCTGTTTCTGATTAAAGGAAAAAACCAAAGTCGTAGAGCCTTTGGATTATGAGAATGTCATCACACAAAGAAAGACTCAGATTTATAGCGACCCTCTCAGAGACCTGCTTATGTTTCCGATGGAAGACATATCTGTGAGTTCCTAAGCACTTCTTTAAAGCAAAAAAAATGCATCTGCCCTTATTTTCTTTAAATCCAGGCCAGTGGTTACAATCAGAATATTCTTTGTCTTCTAGATCTCAGTAATAAGCCGTCATCGCAGAACTGTGCCATCCACTGTACCAGAAGAGGGGGAGAAAAAGGCTCAAAGTTTGTTTGTCAAAGAGGTAAGAGGCTCAAAGTCCATCTAAAAACATTCGTACACAGTCAAATGGAAAATGGAAAAATTTACCAGGCCTACAGTAGATGTCTGTGTAATGCAATAGAGGATCCAGTTGATATATTTTGACAAGTAGCATGTTCTGAGTTAGTTTTTTTCTTTTTTATTGGGGGATGACATAATATTGTTTTAAAGCTTCATATATTCAAAAGAACATACGAATTGAGATTTCTTGCCTTCAGTGTGGTTTGGAAGACAGTTAATCCTCAGAGGAAACTTAATAGCACTAACATTTCCCAAGTCAGTTTTGAAAATCTGTCAGCTTAAGTTTACAGGTTTGGGGCTAGAGTGATAGCACAGTGGGTAGGGTGTTTGCCTTGCACACAGCCAACCCGGGTTCAATTCCCAGAATCCCATATGGTCCCCCGAGCACCACCAGGGGTAATATCTGAGTGCATGAACCAGGAGTAACGCCTGTGCATTGCTGGGTGTGACCCAAAAAGCAAAAAACAAACAAACAAAATTTACAGGCTTTATATAAGTTATTGGTATGCTTTGCCTATCTTGTTAAAGAGTCCTATTTTCTTGTAGTGCATTAAAACATATAGCACCGATTGGCATGTGGTCAATTACAAGTATGAAGACTTTTCTGGGGACTTCCGAATGTTGCCATGGTAAGTTTAAAATTCAAGGCAAAACATCCAGAGGAGAATTATTAAACATTTTGCCTCCTAAAAACTATTGGTTAAAATTGTTGGTTATAATTTCTAAAAAAGCAAGACCTCAAATTACCAGTCTTTTTGGTAAATGCAGTATTTGTGGGTCATTGAATGTGCTTCAACTTTGTTCATTGAAATTCTTTTCAACTGTATGAGTTCACTTTTTTGCTTGGGTACGTCTGTAGGCACTATATGATCATTTTTATCTGATTCTGGATAACCAAGTAAGCGATTTTTCAGTGGTGTCAATGAAAAACTAAAAAATATTTGGCAGAATTTGAAGAACCTAGACAACCCTTGAAATAAGTACATTTCATTCTTTTAAAAAGAATCAGAAAATATTATTAGTGGTTTTCTCAATGATCCTAAGAGTGCTGGGAGGTGCTGGGAGAGGCATATGGTGCTGGGGATCAAAATCAGGACTTATCACAAGCTGAGTATATACACTTGAGCTATCTCCCTGCTCCAGAGTACGTCTGTCTGAATTAAGCTGGAGCCAGATTTTCAAGTTTTCTGTCAATTTTTAGATGGGCGACTTGTGCCAGTCATCATCTGCCAATCTTGCAGGATGTCATATGGGAAATATTTGAGGAAAGTCAGACATTGTGTAGCATTTTTGTGTTTTCTGAACACTCTTTAAGAGGAGAAAATAGGGCCAGAGCAATAGTACAGCAGGTGGGGCATTTGCCTTGCATACGGCCAACCCCTGTTTGATCCCCAGCATCCCATATGGTTCCCCAAGCACCGCCAAGAGTAATTCCTGAGTGCAGAGCCAGGAGTAACCCCTGAGCACCGCTGGGTGTGATTCACAAAGAAAAAAATTTAAAAGAGGAGAAAATAAAGTCATAAAGTTGTCCTTTAAAACTCAAACTGAGGGGGTTGAAGAGATAACACAGTGGGTAGGCGTTTGCCTTGCACACAGCCGACCCGGGTTCGATTCCCAGCATCCCTGAGCACCGCCAGGAGTAATTCCTAAGTGCAGAGCCAGGAGTAACCCCTGTGCATTGCCGGGTGTGACCCAAAAAGCAAAAAACAAATAAATGAAAAAATAAAAAAACTGAGGGGCCGGAAAAATGATAGACAGAGGGTAAAACTCTTGCACATGATTGGCTTAGGTTTGATTCTGGCACCACATCTCATTCCCCCGAGCACTACCAGGAATGAGTCCTGAGCACAGTGCTGTGAGTAAGCCCTGAGCACCGGAAGCATGGCCCCAAACCCAAAATAAATCTCAACTGAGGGCCAGACAGATAGGACAGGAAGTCAGGCCCTTGAATATTCTGACCCTGGTTCTAATCCTCAGCTCCGCATATGGCCCCTGAACCAGGTGTAGTCCCTGAGTGTCATTGAGTGTGGCTAACTGCCTCCAGTCCCCTCAAAAACCCAAGCTTCAAATTGAATGCTTGACTCAAAAGGGTGAAGTGCAAATGCAAGGCCTGAATTCAATCCCTGTCACTGCATAGTTCTCTGAGAAGTACAAGGAGTGACCCGCATGACTGAGTTGGGAATAGCTCCTAAGCACTGCTTGGTTTAACTTCAAAATCCCAAATGAAAAATGAGCCTAAAACTCATTCCTAATATGATCCAAGAGCATATAACAAATAGAAGTGACAGATTGATACTATGGACTGGTTTCTATCTTGGGCCACACGTAGAAGTGCTCAGGGACTTATCCTGAGCCTCTGTTCTAGGATCATTCCCAGTGAAGGTTTGGGAGGGGAACATGGATGGTACTCAAGGAACTGTGGGGTGCTGGGGATCAAACTCTGACTCCCCACATGCACAACATTGGCTCAGCACTTTGAGCCATCTCCCTTGCTACTCAGTTGCTTTTTGGTCTGGGAAAAAGTCAGGTTCTCTACTCACTCATGGCTAAGGTATGTGTTCTATGGCAACTCTTATCCTCTGGAAATGTTTCCTCTTAGTTAAGTCTTTCTTGCTAGCTGTTGATGAGTAAGCCCTGATAGACATTGGATTAATCAGGACAGGATCAGTATTTGGAAAGTCTGTTCTCTTGCTTGCATAGTCCTGGTTGTGCACGAATTACCCCTACTTGTCCTGCTTTGGGTATTTTTCAGTCTGTTCTCTCCAATGACTAACAGTTCTCTTGCATTTGCAGCAAATCTCTGAGACCAGAGAAGATTCCCAATCATGTATTTGAGATTGATGAAGACTGTGAGAAAGATGAGGTAAGGAAGGGAACAACTGCAATGATTTATTTTTGGTGTAGGGGACACAGTTGGTGATGCTCAGGGGTACTCCTGACTCTACACTCAGAAATGACTCCTGCCAGCCTTGGAGGACCATATGGGTTGCCAGAGATTGGACCCAGGTCAGTTGTTGTGCAAGGCATGTGCCTTGCCTGCTGTGTTATCTCTCCAGCCCCTTGCACTGGTTTCTTTTTTGCCCACGTTGGTGAGAGATTAATTTGTAGCACTACAAAGAGGAGAAAAAGATACGGGCACTTTGGTGGTGGGACTTGGAGTGCAGTAACTTTGTACATTAATAGAAAACATGACCAATCTTGTAACCACATTACCTCAACAATAATAAATTAGGAAGAAATAGTTCTGAGGGTCAGAAATGTTTCAAAGGTCCAAATTTCATGTATTGCATATGGGAGCCCTGGGTTTGCTCCTCAGCACCTCCACCTGGGGCAACTTGAGCACATCTGGAAACAGCTCCCCTCTGCTGAGCACCATTGTGATTGTCCCAAAACAAAACAAAACAAAACAATTGGCCAGTTTTCTGTGGCCAGTTTTCAAATGAAGTGTTTGTTTTGTTTTGGATCCATACTCAGCAGAGTTCAGGGCTTACAAATACATACATGCAAGGCAAGCAGCCTACCTGCTGTACTATTACTTCAGCCCCATCAAAACGAATGATTTTTAAATGAAAATGAAAAGAGTTCTGTAGTGTGCGAGCCACACAGAATTGGTGGTACCATAGAGCATACCAGACTTGCATAAAAGCATTTTTTGGAGGAAGCTGAGGCATGAGTGCCCAATCTCCAGCAATTTATGTGCAATTTTCTTCTGACAGTTTTTGGGCACAGTTGCCATGGCAATTGTGACTGGGCAATGTCATTATTGATCTCTAACAGTAAGAGATGCTCTGCAGTTGGGGTATTGTTTAACAAACATAGTGGTTTCTGTTGGACACTTAAGTAGTGCTACAAATTAAAAAAAATTTTTTTAAAAGAAAATGAAAGGAAAGCTGAAGTTCCAAATGGGGCTTAGGAAATGTCAAGTGAAATGGGCTGTGATTTTTTTGTAAGTGTGTTTGCCTGCCTGTGGCAATTCATGTGGGCTCTCCTGCTCACTACTCCCTCTGGAGATCAGATCCACTTGGTTGTGAGGTGCTGTTTCACTGTTAACACAATGCAAAAGGCTGGCTCAAAAGATAACACCTGTGATTGAGTAATAATTAGGGGGCTACTGTGTGCGAAGTATCAAAATCTTCCCTTCTGTAATTACCAGTTTTTCCCTTTTCTTTATTTAAAATATTTTCCCCAGAATTTTATTAAAGCACCCTCAGTTACAAAGTTACTTATAGTTGAATTTTTGAATCAAGCCCCTTTGTGGGGGAAGGTAAAACTTTTTGGGGGGAGTTCATTCTTGAAAGTGCTCAGAGGGTTGATGCCTAGGGGATCCTGTGGTACCAGGAGTCATACCTGGTGCTCCTGCCTGCAAAGAATATGTATTAACCCTTTGAGCTTTCTCTCCCATCAGGAGAGGGGAACTTTATGCTTTCATTAGAAAATGGGGCAGAAGTTCCTATGTACCACCTAAATGTTTGGTTAGCTGGCTTGTAGGCTCCTGTTGCTCTCATGGTTTTTGCTCTGTTTCAGGATTCTTCTTCTTTATGTTCTCAGAAGGGAGGTGTGATAAAGCAAGGCTGGTTGCATAAGGCCAATGTCAATAGCACCATCACAGTTACCATGAAGGTAAGAACTTAGATCACTTTGTGATTTGGAACAATATCATAGCCTGTCTGGAAGAGTATTTTTTGACAGGCCGTGGCAAAAAAAATGATAAAAAAGAGAATTCTTAGAGATGTGCAGAACTGAAAATGTGAAACCTCAGGATAAATTTAGAAGTATAACCTTTCTTCCTTTCTCATTGATTTCTCCTTGTGTTATAATATGAGGGAATTTCAGGGGTTTAGTTTTACTTTGTGTGGTGTCACCACTTCTTCCATCGAAATTTCAGGGTCATTCAGTCTCCCCAAAGACCTTTCTACTCATGCCTCCTTTCCCCGTCCCCTTTCATCTGCACTGTCTGCACTGTCCTCCCATTGTTCATCACTTTGCTCAAGCGGGCCCAGTAACGTCTCCATTGTGAGACTTGTTGTTACTGTGTTTGGCATATCGAATACTCCACGGGGAGCTTGCCAGGCTTTGCCATGCAGGCGAGACACTCTTGCTAGCTTGCTGGGCTCTCCGAGAGGTGCAGAGGAATTGAAACTGCATCTGCCAGGCCGGCTGCACACAAGGCAAACACCCTATCACTGTGCTATCCCTCCAGCCCCTTTCATCTGATAACCACCAATTTTCACTAGTGTAAAAGTCTAAAAGTTCTTTCTCAGTCTATTACCTTAAGGCATATACCACTAGTAGCTCACACTTCGATGTCACATTGGACTGACCATACCACCAAATATGTTGTTTTTTTTTAAAAATTTTTTTTATTAGTGAAACACCATGAGGTACAGTTGTAGATTTACAATTTTTTGTGCTTGGGTTTCGATTATACAATGATCAGATACCCATCCCTCCACCAGTGCCCATTTTCCACCACCATGGATAATATCCCCCCCACCCCCATCCCCCCATCTCCCCCTGCCTCTGTGGCAGGGCAATCCCCTGTGTTCTCTCTCTCATTTTGGGTGTTGTGTTCTGCAAAAGAGGCATTGAGTGGCAAACATGTTCAGTCCATAGTCTACTTTCGACATGCATCTCCCCTCCTGGGAGGATCCTCCTAACACCCTTTATTTGGTGCTCCCTTCTCTATCTGAACTGCCCTTTCCCCTAGAATACCCGGCTGGCCTCTAAGTTATGGAGTAATCCTCCTGGTGCTGATCTCAGCTATTCTTGGGTATTAATCTCATATTTTGTTACTTTATATCCCCCAGATGTATGCAATCTTTCTATGTCTATCCCTCTCTTTCTGACTCATTTCGCTTAGCATGATACTTTCCATGTTGTACCACTTGTATGTAAATTTCATGACTTCATCTTTTCTAACAGCTACATAGTACTCCATTGTGTAGATGTACCAAAGTTTCTTTAACCAGTCATCTGTTCTTGGGCATTCAGGTTTCTTCCAGTTTCTGGCTATTGTAAAGAGTGCTGCAATGAACAAACAAGTGCAGATGTCACTTCGACTATACATTTTTGCCTCTCTGGGATATATTCCCAGGAGTGGTATTGCTGAATACCACCAAATATGTACAATAGAGTGTTAAATTGGTTTGGTAAATAGAAAAAAGTCATATAATTGAAAATTACTTATTGATAATTTCAAGAAATTAGATTTCTTGAAAGAAAGCAGGATTTATTTAATGAAGCCACCATATGGCGGGAAACACAAATCACAATGGTGGCATCAATATGTTAAGTTATTTATATCCTATATTTGAATGAAAGTGTTCAATAATTCCCTCTTCCTTTCTTATTTTACTTTGCATACTCACTTCAAGTTCCAGCTATTTTTTTTGTTTTGGGGGGCATACCTGGCAGAACTCAGGGATTACTTCTGGCTCTGAGCTGAGGGATCACTCCTGGCAGAGCTGAGGGGAATCATATGTGGTGCCGATCATTAAATTTGGGTTGGCTGCATGCAATGCAGGGACTCTACCCACTGAACTATTGCTTCATCCCCAAGTTCTAGCTAATTTTGTCTCAAAAGATTTCTTCTTTTTCAATGGCACAGAAGTTATTCTACTGTATATATAACACAACTTCTTTGCTTGGTCACACAGCATTTAGGTTGAGTCTATTATGTGTAGTGATGCTATTTGACTATTATGTGTAGTGATGCTACGACTATAGGGATGCAAACGTCTTTTCAATTAGTTTTTTCATATCCTTTTAATAAATGCTTCAGGCTGCTATCACTGGATCATGTGGTGAGAAATGCAGCTTTCTGTGGGGTGGGTGGGTGGGTGTTTGGAGCCACATCACACCAATTCTTGCTCAGGCGTGACCCATGACAGTGCTTGAGTAACCATGCAGTGCTGGGAAGCAAATGGGGGTCATCCACATATAAGACAAGAGCCTAACCCATGTATTAGTTCTCTAAACCCATATACTAAAAATAAATGTAATTTTTAGCTTGTGAATCAGAAAGTTTTAAAAGGAGACTGTCAGTTGAATGAAGATAATAGCTATGAAACAAAATGGCGTGAAAATTCATATGTGGAAGTAAATGTTTATATAGGAAAGTAGGATAACCCTTTTATTTAGCAATATTTGATTAGGTATTTATTACATGTGGGTCACTTGGCGAATATATGGATATCCAAGATGGACCCCTTGGCCTTTAATGAATAGCCTTGAGACTAGACAAGAAACTTATTATTGGTCTGGAGAAATAGTACAGAGGTTATGGCACTAACCTTATATGGAGCAGGTCCCTGGTACTGCAGAGGCCCCTAAAAACCACCAGGAGTGACTCCAGAACACAGAGCCAGAAATAGTCTTCAGTTGCCATGTGTGGCTCAATCCTTACCCCCCCCCCCAGGAGACACAATATTAATTGATATACAATGTAGTATCTTAGGACAAAACTAGAAAATTTTATAATTTGGCTAGTTTGTGTGAACTAACTGTATAAATAGAATAACGTTTTACAGGGCCTTCACAACTGGCTCTTTTCAGGAGATTGTCAAGAACCATTCAAATCCATGAAGCAGCCATAGATTGCTCAGGCTTTACATTCAGGAGGCTTGGGTTTGATCCTCTCTGTAACACATGGTTCCCTGAGCACTGTCAGAAGTGACCCTGAACCAGGAGTGGCTCCTAAGCACTGCCAGGCAGAAAACCAGAAAAAATAATTTCAACGGAAAAAATAATTTAAAAATTGTGAACAGAATAAGAAATCATTTTCTGATACCAAGCATAGCTATTCTTTTTGATATTCAACATAAGGTCATGTGGTTTGCTAGCATGATTCACACTTTTATTAAGTAGTGAAGGTCATTCTATCTTCAGCAGTCTGCAAGCAGAAACTCTGGGTGTCTACTCAGGGAAGACTCAAATTTTATCTTAATTTAATATTGTGCCTGCTGCTTTCCATTTAGTGATTGTGTTCTGTTCTCACTTTCATTTTCAAACCCTGAAAAGCCAGAATTCAAGTTGGAGAATGCCAGCATCCTGAAGTCTCCCCCTCCCAAGCATGGGCCCCAAGCCATAAGGAAAATGTCTTGAGGGCCCAGGGCTGTGGCTCAGCTGCAGAGCAGTTGCCTCGCATATGCGGTTGGTTTCATTACTGAAGCATCTCAAAATCTAGCATCTACCTCAAAACAGACAGAGAAAGAGGGAGATAGGGAGAGAGGGAGAGGGAGAGGGAGAGGGAAAAGAAAAGGGAGAGGAAGAGAAGGGAGGTGGGGGAGGGGTAGGAGTAGGGGAGGGAAGAGAGGGAAGGGGGAGAGAGTTAGTCAAGTTGCTTGCTTTTTATGTGGCCAACCGTGGTTTGATTCCCAGCACAAATATGGTCCCTCAAGCTCAGATCTGGGCTTAAGTCCCAGGTCCCAAGCACTGCCATGTGTCACCCATACCTGCCCCCTTCTCCAAAAGAAAAAAAAAGAAGAAGAGCAGAATCTTTTTTTTTTTTATAATTTATTTATTTATTGAATCACTGTGGGAAAAGTTACAGAGCTTTCGGGTTTAGGTCTCAGTCATGTAGATACCAAACACATTTCCCTTTACCAATACTCATTTTTAACCCCGAACCCCAATAGACCCCCACCTCCCACCCCTCCCAATTCTTGTGAGGCAGATGAGTTCTAGTTAATACTCTATCTACTTTGACTAGATAGATTATTTCGATAGAAGATGCACAATTATTGTTTAGAGTTTACGACCCACCCCCCACAATCAGACATGCTGAAACAGCGTTATGAAATGATTTGCTTTCTACAACTTGGTTTAAGAATAAAATGATGTCGTGGCCACGTGGTTTTGAATTTCTGCTATTTTACTTATTGACCCTGGAAGAATTTCTATTAAAAGTTAGCTAGTTAAGAGATTGGTTTCTGTGCCCTTCCCCCTCCGGGCAGGCTTGGTGGCGCGGTTCAACACAAGTCCATTTGCTTTTCTGCTCCAAGCGGCTGGTTCTCTGTGCTAAGTCCTTGTGCCTCCGGGGCCGTGGCCGTGCCGGAGAGCCGCTCGTGGGGGGCAGCTGGCAACCTCGGTGGGGCGTGGGGGACGGCCCACAAAGCCCCCCTTCCCATGAGGTCCCTGCCGCTCCCGCCAGCCCCGGCTCAAACCTGCTTTCCACAAGGCTCCCGTGCGGCCGCCATCTTTCTTTCCAGAGAGGAGCGGGCAGGAAGAGCAGAATCTTTTTATTGAGGACTTAATATGCACTTGGCACTAAGAAGTGTATTCAATTTATTTTTTTAATCCTCAAGGTCAATATAGACTGTCAGACTCCCAAGGGTCCTTTAAGGAGGAAGAGGAGATTCATGTCAAAAGACATGAGGACAGAAGCAGGGTCAGAGAGTAGCATGCTTTCTGGGTTGGCAGATGGTGAAAAGGGCCACAAGACAAGAAATTCTTACAGTCTTGGGAAGGTGGGAAAAGTCAAATAATGGATTCCACCAAAAATGTCTAGAAACAACCACAGTGCTTCATTGAATTTAGTCTAGTGAGAGCTACGTCAAGCTTCTAGCCATCAGACCTACAGGAGAGACTGGTCATGATGCTTTCAGCCACTAATCTAAGCA